GATGCTATGGCAGAGGCTGAATTCAGGGGTCTGTGTGGCCCCTCGGGCAGCTTCATCCCCACTCGGTTCTGGCTGCTTGTACGGAGCCAGCACCGGGGCAAGGATTGGGGCTGAGGGTGCTGGGGAGGAACTGGGGGGTGCCAGGAGGGGCTGGGGGTGCTCGGGTGGACTGGGGGTGCTGGGGAGGAGCTTGGGGGTGCTGGGGATGGGCTGGGGCATGCCTGGAGGGGCTGGGGGATGCCAGGAGGAGCTAGGGGATTCCTTGGATGGGAGCAAGATGCCAGGCTGGAACAGGGAGAGCGTCTCTGCCGGAGCCAGACACGTTTCCCAGCATCAGTCGCATCCAAACTAGTTCCTCTTGACAGTGTTAACAGGTTTCTGTAGGGCTGCGGTTTCGGAAGCACCTTTGTGGTTTGGGCACCAAAATCCCACGTGGTCTGAACTAAGCGCTTGAGAGCAAACCAAGAGCTGGGGCTCCTGAATCCTGGGGGGTTTCAGTGAGCGATTCACCCCGGGGATGGGAAGCCAAGGCGAGAGGGCTCGGGGGAGGCACGGGGACCCACACTCATCCTCGAGTGAGATGCTGATTGGAGCACGATATGGGGAGAGAGAAGAAGGCACAAACCAAAAGGGTTTGCTGAAGAGGAGGGGCCGAGCGGAGATGCTCAGGGCTGAGCCCGCTGAAGATGTTTTGCCAAGGTCCTCGGAGAGATGCTGCCATCCCGCCCCCAGAAAAGGCAGCGGGATATTTCTCCATCCCCGCTGGGTGCCCCGGGGAAATCCCTGGGTACCCGGGGATTTGGTGGTGGCACTGGGGCACCAGGGTCTCCTTGAGCATCTGAGTGCCGACAAGGGCTCAGCACCCAAAAAATACCCCTCAGGCAGGACGGAGCCCGGGGCGTGCAGGAGAGTCTCCATCTCCCTGGCTGCTCCCTGGCAGGGCGTGCGCTATGCCGCCAAGCATTGCTTGCTGCAGGTTTGCAAGATGGCTCATAAAACCATATAAGCTCCTGTAAAACCGTATTAACTTTAGGCTGAGACTTTAGAAACATAATGGATATAATGGGATTTTTCCCAGTGGCATTAGCAGCACGGAGCTGTAATGCAATGCGATGTCAGTGAAGTAGGATGATGTTATTTTTCAGTCTTTACACTTAAAATGGCCTTGCGGAGCGGCTTGGGCTGGGCTTTCTGTGGGTTTGGAGGCACCGCTCGGTTCTCGCACTCCTGGATATAATTTGCAGGTTCTGGAGTGCTGCCGGCGGGAGCAAGTACAGAGACAAGGGGAATTATTTGTATTTTTTTGGTGCATTCTGGAACATTAATAAGGAGCTTTAGCTGGGGCGGCAGGACATCAGCAGAGCCATGTTGTCAGCAGGACTGTGCACATGTACAGGAGCAGGATCCGTCCCGCTTGCAGCTGCTGAACCGCATTCGATGGAGCTGCAGTCGGGTTGCTGCCCCGGTACCTCCGCGGGGCCGGGCTCTCCTGCGGGACCTCTTTGCCGTGGCTGCTGGTGGCATCACCCGTAGGGTCCAGGTGCCCCGAGGCAGGAGACTTGTCCCCTGCTTTGGCTTTGTAAAAACACCTCATGGTGGCTTCTGGGGCCGCATTTTACCCCATTCTGCAAGACAAGGTGCAGGAGCAGGGTGATGCCTGGCTCCGGCAGTCTTTACACTTAAAATGGCCTTGCGGAGCGGCTTGGGCTGGGCTTTCTGTGGGTTTGGAGGCACCGCTCGGTTCTCGCACTCCTGGATATAATTTGCAGGTTCTGGAGTGCTGCCGGCGGGAGCAAGTACAGAGACAAGGGGAATTATTTGTATTTTTTTGGTGCATTCTGGAACATTAATAAGGAGCTTTAGCTGGGGCGGCAGGACATCAGCAGAGCCATGTTGTCAGCAGGACTGTGCACATGTACAGGAGCAGGATCCGTCCCGCTTGCAGCTGCTGAACCGCATTCGATGGAGCTGCAGTCGGGTTGCTGCCCCGGTACCTCCGCGGGGCCGGGCTCTCCTGCGGGACCTCTTTGCCGTGGCTGCATCACCCATCACCCGTAGGGTCCAGGTGCCCCGAGGCAGGAGACTTGCTTTGTCTTTTGGCTTTGTAAAAACACCTCATGGTGGCTTCTGGGGCCGCATTTTACCCCATTCTGCAAGACAAGGTGCAGGAGCAGGGTGATGCCTGGCTCCGGATGCCGGTGCTCAGCGCTGGCAGGACGTGGTCCCCGGCTCCCACCGCCACGAGCGACGCTGGTCCGGCACAGCCCTGCCACATGCCCATGCCACTGCCGGTGGCTGCAGCGGGTCCCCACGGCCACGC